CAAGACTAAACATGGCCAGATTTCCGCCCCCCACACATTTCCTCATAGGTCAAGCTGTCTAAACCTTTTATCATTTTTGTTGCCTTTCTCTGTACTTTTTCCAATTCTAATATATCTTTTTTGAGATGAGATCACCAGAACTGCATGCAGTATTCAAGGTGTGGGCATATCATGGATTTATGTAGTGGCATTAGGCTATTTTCTGTCTTATTATCTATCCCTTTCCTAATAGTTCCTAACATTCTGCTATCTTTTTTGACTGCGGCAACACATGGAGCGTATGTTTTCAAAAACTCCACGATGACTCCAAGATCTTTTTCTTGAGTGCTAACAAATAGTTTAGACGGCCACATTTTGTATATGTAGTTGGGTTATGTTTTCCACTGAGCACTTTGCACATATCAACATTGAATTTCATCTGCCATTTTGTTGCCCAGTCACCCAGTTTTGTGAGATCCCTTTGTAACTCTGCAATTAGTTTTGGACTTAACTATCTTGAGTTATTTTGTATTGTCCGCAGTGCAGTGTTCACCTCCGTTTCCAGATCATTTATAAATTTGTTGAACAGCACTTGTCCCAGGCCTTGGAGGACCCCGCTATTTACCTCTCTCCACTGTGTAAACTGTCCATTTATTCCTGCCTTTTGTTTCCTATCTTTTAACCGTTTACTGATCCATGAAAGGACCTTCCCTCTTCTCCCATGACTGCTTACTTTGCTTAAGAGCAAAGAGTAGATGGGGGAAGCAATAGACCTGATTGCTTTATGGGAATGTCATGTGGGACTGTGCCAAAAGTCAAGCTAACTAGGGAAATGTGGTCTAGATTAATTTACTGTAAGGTGTGTGCATAACTTGTTGAAAGACAAAACTCAAAGACTAGTTATCAGCGGTTCATTGTCAGACTGGGATGACATTGTCCTGGGTCTGGTACTATTCAACATTTTCATTCATGATTTGAATAATGGAGTGGATAGTATGCTTATAAAGTTTCCAAGCAGCACTAATCTGGTAGGGGTTGCAGGCACTTTGGAGGACAGGATTAGAATTCAAAATGATCTGGACAAATTGGAGTCTGAAATCAGTAAGATGAAATTCAATAAAGACAAGTGCAAAGTACTACACCTAGAAAGGAAAAAATCAAATGCACAGATACAAAAAGGGGAT